TAAATAAAAGCAATTATTATCTAGCCGTAACAGTGCATGGCAATCAATCCCAGTATATAAATATAACGTTTAGCATTATAATATAAACGCATAAGTAGTATGGAAGAGAGCATTCACCGACCAAATAATAAACAGTTATAAACAGCATTGATCTCATTTCTAGAAAGTAAAAGTGTATTTTGTTTTATTTCTATCCATGTATGAGTGAATGTGTGTGTAAACATGCAGGGCACATGTGAGTGCGTTCCAGAGTAAGGTGATAAAACCTCAGGGACAAACTAATTCTATGCATTTATTTATTTATTTGTCTTAGAAATAGGCATGCGCCTACTGATATGTGCCTATTGATGTGGTAACTTCAAGTCAGTGTGATAGTAACACTGAGAATAAGGCTGACTGGTGGTATAGATAGATATTACTAGTTCTAACATTCTAATTGAATACAATGTGATATAGCAGCTAACGGTCTATCTATTTTCACACCAAATGCACATGATACTAGAATTGTGATAAAACCTATTGATGTTTATCTGTGAAAGAGGTGGGTGTGTAGTAGAAATAACAACTGTGCACAGTATGTGGTGTGTAGCAAAAAGAGACCGCTTAGGATAGATAGGAGGGGTAAACAGCCCCACTAGCTCTCTCTCTCTCTTAATATTGTGAGATAGTGAAATAAGTAAAATGCTTCAGATAGTCCTAATGCATACAGCAAATTCCTTTATTCAGTAGACAACATATAATAGTAATAATAATATTAACAGGGTAACCAATAATCGCTTGAATTCAAACCATAATAATTTCTCAGTAAACCTAATAATTCTCTATGATGACAATCAAGAAATGTGCACAGAACTGCTTTTTCTTCGTCCATATAGTCGCCTACTAAATCGATGGTACAAAACATGTCACAAACACAAGCTGAATAGAGGAATCCACAGCCTTAACTTCAACGATGATTGTCAGTACGTTGTTCCAACTGATGATTCAACTGTTTCAATGTCTGTTAACTCCCAGCTAGATTGTACTAAAATAAATAGCTTTCTATTGGGAGTCAGCAAATGGTCTGAGTCTAACAGTCTTAAACTGAATCATTCTAAATATCAAACTGTTAATTTCAGCTTAAGATGTAAAAGACAGTTAAAAGAAGTCATCGATTCTCATGACAGCTGTAAGATTGACGACAATAAAATGGGAATTAAATCAGAAACTAAGTATCTTGGACTTATTCTCTCTGCTGATCTCTCCTGGTCTTCCAGTGTCTCAGCGATCTCCAGTAAAATATTCCGCCTGACATTTTACATTAAGAAGTTAAGGCACTCGCGTATAACTCAACCCCCCTCCTCTTACAGTTCATAAACTCTTGCATTTACCTATTCTTCTTTACTCTTCACCCTTATTCTTTCCTGGTTTGCTTAAAAAGGACTATGTCACAATTCGTAGAATACTGAAGACTGTCAGTAGGGTGAGCGGTATCCCAGTGGACCAAAAAGTTAGCGTCGTTGTCGATAGGCACTTCACTTCGTGCAATAAATTTGCTAAAGAGATTTTGTCTGACTTTGAGCATCCACTTTACCCTCAGCTTTCACCTTGCATCTCCTCAGGTAGAACAAGAAGTAACTTCGTAAAACTGTATGCTCGCACGTCTAAGTATACAAATTCTATCATACCATACTTGGAACGTATTTTATGTGATGAAAATAGTGTCAGGCAAGAATTAACTAACCTTTTTTCATCTAGTAAATAAACAATTTCCTCCATCCATCCATCCTTATGTACCTTCAAGTTTTACTTTTATTATTTCTATTATATTTATGGTCCTTTTGCTTCTTTGTTTGTTTGGCTTTCATAACTGCAAACACCAACTAATCTCTATGACTGCTGTAATCTTTGTCTCTCCCTCACCATATCATGTGGAGAGAGAACATTATATTCAATATTTTTTTAACATGCTAGGATTTCTATACCACATTGACAATACTGTGTGAAACAAGCCAACGGAAATTTTCACTTGTATTATTACTATTATTACCTTAGCTGTTATCACTATTATTGTTATTTCCATTTTATATGCTGCATGTTTTTAGACACTACCTCTATTGTAAATGTGGAAAATTTTCTATGTGATGAATTTTTATTTATAATTTGAGGAAATTAGATGCAACATTGTGATTAATGCTGAAAATTCCATTCTGTATCACAAGTACTGTTTTTGGAATAAAGTAAATTATTATTATTATTAATTTACTTAGTGAATTCGTCTTCGACAAATTGTAGTTATAATTTGATGATATTAGATGGTTCGAGGTAATCAGAGGGAAGCCTTGGTCCAAGGTTTCCTGCTAGTTGGCAATCACCAGTCAGCAAGGAGTTTCTGCAACCTCAAAAGAAATTCATATCCCTTCTGAGATTCGAACCCGCGTCACCCAGTGCTGCAGTCGAATGTTACGGTGTACTGCCGATTACCTCAAACCATCTTATATCATCAAATCAATGTGCACCGTGATGGCGAGCTACCTAGAACGATGGCCACATTACAACCTGATTGATGGAATTCAGTCTGCACCAAAGAGAGGACTAGACACATCACACTAGTAACTAGTGTCAAATCAAAATATAACTATAATTATAACACCGTTACTTTAATTTCAAGATTGATTTCCCTAAGTTTGACTGGAAATTCCTGATTAGAAGTGCCATTTGGGAAGAGTGATTAGATGCCTCGACTCCATGCATTCACATGCAGTTATAACCACTCTAAACATTTAGCAATAGAAAACCATACTATCAAACCACATGGTTCAGCTCACTATTTGTATCTCATACAAATCGATATTTTAGAATATGCAGCTAAATTGCATAAGATGAATTCTAAAACTGAGTACTTTGTCATAAATTCTGTATACGGTGCTCTTTCCGATTGCAAATCTCTGATTTAATCAATCTTATGGTAGTAACTGCTTATATCAAATAATCAGGTATCTAACCAGGAAGAGATCAACACAGATGATGAAACCAATAAAAGATTATAAAGGGAACCTGATCACTGTGAAGGACTCTTGAATCGAACATCACCTGCAACTCGCGTAAAAATACACCACCATCAACAGCACGCACAGAACTGCCTGCCAGTGGCATTAATCCTGCAATGAAAGCGGAAATCCCCAATACGATCAATCTACTGAATTTCGTGAAGGCAGATGGAATATCCCCGAAGCACTGAAAACGGATCCAGAGAATGAAGCAGATATGCTCACACTATTATTGCGAAATGTCTGGGAGGAAGGAGAGGTGCCTACCGAATGGAAGAAAGGCTGCCTACCTTGTTAAGCTACCAAAGAAGTGTGACCTAGGCCTCTGCAAGAACTGACTAGCTTGGAATAATGCTGTTGTCTACGCCAAGTAAAATACTAAGTCGCATCATCCTGGAGAGAATAAAGAATGCCTTGGATACAGAACTTCACCTGGAACAAGCTGGATTCAGAAAAGGCAAACCATGTGCCGATCAAATTGTAACTCCATGTGTCGTCATCACAGAACCAAACATAGAATGGCAGTCAAACCTCCACCTCGAATTCATCGATTTCGAGAAAGCCTTTGACAGATAGCGTTGACCAAAATGTAATTTGAAAATTACTTCAATACTACGCCGTGCAGTACCCGGGTCTTCATCAACCTCATTCAACAGCTGGCTATATGAGTAAGCAAGGCATTCTAAATGAATACAGGAGTAAGACAAGGCTGCTTGCCTGGCTATTATCACCGATTATATTCCTAATTGTAGTGGACTGGATTAAGAGACATAATGTAAGTGGGGAGTGAGAAGACAGGAATACCGTGGGTCGACAATAGTCTAGAAGATCTGGATTTCGTGCGTGGATGATTTATATTTAGTGCTTAATGTCACAAAAACTCGAAGACTTGCAGGCAGGCGAAAACCAACAAACTGGCTGAAGAGGCTGGCAGGAAGCGAAGACAGGACTCCAGGTGAACATAGAAAATAAAGAGGTGATGAAGATAGCCAACCAATCGGTTAACAGCAACAACAACCAGCACCAATCACCATCAATGGGAGAGATTTAACATATGCAACCTCCTTCAACTTTCTAGGAAACTTCGTTGCAACCACAAGAGGAACGAATGAAAATGTCAAAGCCAACTACCCAGCCAACCAGAATCGGAAAAGCAACATACTTCTTCATCAACCTGATACCAGTTTGGAAATCCTATGCATTTAACATAAGGAACAAGATTCGCATTTTCAACACCAATGTCAAGTCGATCAGTTCTTCTATGCCGGCCAGAAACCTGGTGCCAGCGTTTCACGAAAAGAACTTCCAACAGGTCACTGCAGACTTTCATCAACAACTGCCCTCTTCGTTGGCTCCATACTGAAGATCAAATGGCAAGGAAGAATTAACAACAACAAAATTCTGACTGGGAACAAAACAACAGGCGAGAAAATGTAGATGGATTGATCGGGTATTCGGTTGTGGAGGCTGTCGAATGATATCGCGCGCTCAGTGCAGGCCATGGCTCAAGTGAAAGGTGAAGGCTAAGCGACAAGTGGGTCGTCGGTGTGACGGTGACATCGAGCAGATGGTGTGAAAAGGCGATGAGAGATTGTGGGCAATAGTGGTCCAAGCTGAATTGGATGGCAGAAGATAAGTCAAAGTGGAGACGTGTTGTTGAAGCCGTATGTTCCACTAGGAACTAAAAGGATGACTAGTCTTAAGCAATGACTGAAATCTAGTGATAAACTATATACTCTGATTACTAAGTTGAGTTAAACGATACCTACCGTTCGCTGAACACCAAGATGCATCATGTTAACGGAGTTCTAAAATAAGGCCTACTATATCCTAAATTTCATCATTATTACCACCAAAGTGATATTCACACTAGACTTCACTAAAATGGATTTTATTCAATTACTGAAAATACAGAAAAAGTGCATAGCTGAAATTATTATTATTATCAGTATTAGTAGTAGTATGGCTTACCTTCACTAAATTTTGTATGAAAGATTTAAAAATATTTAAATTTTCAGTATACTTCTTCCACATATTTTTAATCTTTATGACATGATCAGGGAAACAGAATTTTTCACAGTTTTCCACTTCAATTATTAATGAATGAATAAATTGTTCTTGTGCCTTGAAAAAATTAAAAAAAATCAAAAAAATAAATAAATCCCGCAAATATTAAATGATGCCGATGACAATGAAAAACAACCTCTTTTTTTTATCATTTTCGTTGTAAGAATCCTATTACTACCAACTTACTATTATCAAAAAAATCAATAAACTATGAAAACTTATATCTCCTTTACATTTAGTCTGGTACACACTTCACAATAGTTCATAGAATTTCGCTCAAAATTATAAACAATACTTGGAAGTAATTCCATGTAAAAATGTTGGAATTACTCATTTCAATATCGCTGAGATTTTACAAATATAATTTTTTACAAATGTCTACTTCTCACTCGGCGCCCAAATATTATAGAACTATTCTGTCACATCTTGACTACAGTTCATTTGATTTATTTTGTAATCGAATTAAATTAACAAAGAAACTATGTTACTGGCACAATCATCGTGTTTCCACTCTCCGTTGTCTGCAACAGAATGCGTATCCTAAATTCGTAGCTGTCCAGTCACCTGACAACTTCAGTAGGTCGAATAAAGCAGCTGAATTTTCAGAAAGAAGACAAAGTAATAAGTTTGACGGGTTGTTCAACTAAACTCTAATCCTAAACACCATAATTTTGAAAATACGTCTAATCATAAAATTCTAGATACTAACAGTTTGAACAGACATGAAGGTGTGATTTTAGCCGACGCATAGGAAATCCTGGATAATAAATAAGAATGGATATGTATCACTAACTAATAATACTTGGTCAAAGTTTCCCGACTGTCTATATCTACTTATGGAGACGTTAAGACATTGTTTTACAACTGTTTATCCGCACACACACACACATACACACTGTGTTTAAAGTGTTTAACAAAGGTAGATCAATATTTGTAAGTCTGAGGTCAAATTTTGATCACAACTCGTACAATTTTGTTTATTATATACAATTGGTGGATGGTGGCTAGCAGTGGAATCCAGGATGCGCATTTCGTCCTATTTGTTTATTATACTTGTTAATATTTGTTTTATGAATCATGATTGGACAAAGCTTTTAAAAACAAAAGATGTTCCTTTTATACATAAACCTGTTATGTTAATTTCGATTAATTTCCCTGAAGAAGTTCGGACCAGACTGGCGAACGAAACGTTGGAATTACTCATTTCAATATCACTGAGATTTTACAAATATAATTTTTTACAAATGTCTACTTCTCACTCGGCGCCCAAATATTATAGAACTATTCTGTCACATCTTGACTACAGTTCATTTGATTTAATTCCATATAAGTTTGTTTATTAGATGTATCACACAGTCAGGGAAACAGGATTATTATTTACTAGATGACAAGGTTTCGAACAAAATTTATTTAATGTTCATAATCATATCAAATACATCAACTCGAAGGTGGATGCAATTCAATTCCCTTATGAATTCGAAAGTCAGAAAAGGGGGCTTCCAATGTTAGATCGTAGCATAAAAAGGAAGAAGATGGGGATTAAAACACAATAGTGTGCGTTCACAGGAAACCCACACATTCAAACAGATATTTGGACTTCCGATCATCCCATTCTATGTCAGTAAAAATAGGATTGGTGAAATGTTTAAGTAATAGACCACAAAAATTTAGTAGTACCAAGGAAAATCTACAGCAGGAAGTGGTACACATGAAAGAAGCCTTGAAACTTAATAATTACCCTTGTAATTTAGTCAAAAATGCAGGTCAAATATGCGTAAGACAACATCAACAATAAGGAATCTAAATCATCAGTAGTAATTCCGTACAAGGAAGGAACCTAGGAGACCTTACACAGAAATAGTAACAAGCCAGGAATCAAAGTGGCTGGAATTCAAACCAACCACAAACTCAATTAAAAACAAGCTTGGTCGGTTAATGGATCAACCCTGTGGAGCCTTTAAAACAAAACAATTTGTTTATGTAATACACTGTCCGCAGTGATTGTTACGTCAAATACATAGGTCAAACTAGTAGAACAGGGCAATCAGACTAGCCGAACATAAAATCCAAACAGCAAAATCTAGATTGGTTGATCCAAATGAGATAAGAAATGTAGAGAATAGTTCAGCTATACCACTCACTACATGCAATAACACACAACCATACAATAGAATGGGATGGGATACGATGACAGTTTTAAAATCTAATACAACTAACAGAGTGGAGGGAGAGATTGATAACAGAAGCTTGGTTTATCGAATCAACTCAAGAGAGTACGTGTAATAGAAATGATTCAACACCTGTCCACCCGGATATCTCGAAAATTCTACTACCCCAACGACGACAAATAGGAGAGGACAAATAAAACTATAAAACTCAAGTTTCGAAGTGTGCGATTATACTTGATGAAATGATTATGAACAATAATGAATTTTATTCGACACATCATCCAGTAAATAATGCTGTTTCCCTGACTGTATGATACATTTAGTAAACAAACTAATATGAAATTACTTACTACCACAGTGCCCAAGTTTTACAAGTATATTGATACTTCGAAGTGATATTTAAGTGTTGGTTTGTAGGGATTTGAATGGTTATAGGATTTCATCATGAGCTGACATTAGTTAGAGAACCACTGGAAAACCTGGGAGTACTGGACAGCTGTTTCCTCCTAGTTTGGGACTACTCAGCAGTACCCACCCACCGGGATTCGAACCCAGGACCTTCTGGTTACAAGGCGAGTTCGTATACCATTAAGCCACTGGGACCCCATCCAACTTCTGCAGATTCACGATATAGCGCAACCGCTAGCCAATGTCTTCAGCGAGTATTTGTCCTCACACCGACGTGATGCACGCTACTGGCCACAACATTTCAGTAGAATCCCATGTAACTACCTACCTGAATAGGGCAAGTCGCTAATAAGTATTTCATCGATGTTTAAGTGTTGGTTTGCAGGGATTTGAATGGTTACAGGACTTCATAATGATCGCTTGGAAGTGACTTAGGTATCAGCTGTGCTTCCCAAGATTGAATATTTCCGCTACACCTGTACAATCACATTTATGTATAACTATTTGTGTGTCTGTGTACATTATACAATAAAAGTTAGGTAGGTCATCGAAATGTTCCACAGAAATGTGATGAATAATCAAATTGTAACTAGGCGCGGGTGAAGATTAGTAAGTATTGACATGGATTAGGTAATATGAAGACACCCAGAAAAACAGGATGTTAATGAAAGAGCATGGAAACAAGTGCCCAAAGCAAATTATGTAATAGGTAGAAAGAGTAAACGAAGGATAGGTTAATTTTTAAAAATGTTACTAAGACAGTTGTACAAAAATTTAAAAAAGCATTACTAACATAATACGCTTTATAGAAAGCAAGATGGTATGGCTATGGGTTCACTTTATGGCCTGTTACTTGCAGATATTTTCATGACAAGTTTGAGAAATGTTCCATTGAAACCGACAACCGACAATTTCCCTCTGTACAAAAGGTACGTCAATGACATTTTCTGTCATCGATGATAACAAATGTTACCTGAATATAATGTCCTTCAAGTTCTCAATAGCTGCCACCGAGTAATCAAATTTATAGATGAAACAGAAACCGGAGAGGCGATCTTATTTCTGGAATATGTGGAATGGCCAAATGACAAACTTTTACAGTTGGATACGCGTCAGTCGCAAGCCGAACCTGATAATATCTCTTGTTTCAAATCTTCAAATATTCCCATTTATTATATTAGAACAAGACATATAAGCGGACAGTGTCGCTGTTTTCAATTAGATCTTCTTCAGGCTTTACTCTAATTTACATAGACTTATATATAAAAAATTTTAACCAATGACGGTGACTTTATCGATCAAATAATAATAATGTGGTAAATGTTTTGAACGAAATTAATAACTGTGATTATAATGGTAACAAAATATTGATAATAAGGTTTATGCAGGTGGTGATAAGAAGAATAACAAAGGTAGTGAGTGATATGTGTATATGTAGACAATTTAATAAATAAATAAATTAGGTCAAATCTTAAAAGGTGAAATGGAACGATAATCAGTTTAAATAAATATCATAAAAGTACAAAGGAGATGGAAGCTAAGAAAGGGTGGTAGGGTTTTGAATAGAATTCACCTGGGCTAAGCAAAGGAGAGGCAAAGACAGAACGAACTTCTTTTGTATACAAAGACTAGGATCGTTCTCTCGAATTCCCATAGCTTCGATAAGTGTAAAAGGCGGGTTCTGATTTCGTTCGAAAGACTCGATGAGATGCGATAGATAACTTTGAAGGCACTATTTTTGTCCACTTAGTGACCTCTATCATCAATCAAATGAGCCAAAATAGGACTTCGTATAGATTTCATTTGACCTTTTCCGAACCATGAAGGAAGATGCTCATTAATGCGTTTGTTAAGTTGTTTAGTTGTTCGCCCTATATAGCCAGCTCTCTCTACAGGAGAAACTAAATTTATAGATACACATAGAAGTGGCACAGCTAGGTAGCTTGACTTCCACTTGAGCAATCATAATTGGTCGGCTGGAAAATGACAAACAAACAGAGGGTGGCGGCAGTATAAGTCCGTTTTATCGCTCTCGATAATCTCTGATGTAAGACTTCGCCAGCCACGTCTCCATTAAATTGCAATTTCATAAACAGTTGTTTCTTTTTAACTGTTGTCAATTTCTCTTTTTTGTACTTGGTGTCCATGTGTCTCCTTACAAGTCTACTAGGATAGCCCATTTGGATCAGCGTATTTTGAATGTATCCTAACTGATTTTCTAGGGAGTCCTCTGTACAGATCCGTCTTGCTCTATTCGTGAGGCGGCATCTGACCAAATTGATTTTGTATCGGATTGGTGCAAAACTGATGAAATATGTATACTGTCCTACAGATGTAAGTTTTCAATAGACATCTCTCTTGAGTGAACCATCCTCTTTTCTGCTCAATTGAACGTCAAGGAAACGTAGTCTACCATCATGTTCTTCTTCATAAGTGAAGATGAGCAATGGATGTGCATCATTAAACTTTTTTAACATTTCA